AACAAGTTGTTGAAGAACGAACAACTGAGAGAGCATGGCATTCAGTTCTGCCAGGGCATACGAAACATAGGACCATATTTTCATACATGAGCACTTTCTAGGCTGCAATTCGACTTGGTTCCAAGAAATCCGTACAAGATGTCAACTGTAAATGAAAAACAAAACCGTAAACAATGACTACACAAAAACGTAAATTCGTACTTCATACATTTATAATAAATATATTACATATGTAATAGTGTTATTTATAGGGACAAAGCCAATAATAAACTCATAAACCCGCCCATTAATCATATGCCATTGCTTAATTGTTTACAGTAGGTGTACACAGTAGTTCGCCAGCATATTGTTAAAGATATTTCCGCTAGTTTCATTCACATGATGTACATCAAGTTAAATTTCAATATGAAATTATTAATGCAAAGTTCAACCTTCAGTTCGAGTAGTTAGGACCGGGCTAAGTGTAATGTTTGGCCGGGCAGAACATGGTGAAACACTTTCTTCCCAGCTGTCACGGTTGCCGTGATGCCATCTTATGAACCCATGTTTTGGGTCAGTCACCAACTGAGCGGATTTACCTCTGATTGCAAAAACCGTGAGTAACTTATCACTTATCAAATTCTATTGGCACCGGGGCTGGAAATCTGATTTGTTATAAGCATGGATCTCGAAAAACTGCACCAATATAAGTTTCAGTGCTAAATGTCGGAAACGGCGTGCCATGCGAAACGTGCGAACATAACACAGAATTTGGACACAGTGCAATGGTTGCAAAAGCTAATCGCATGAGAACAAGTTAGCTGAAATAGATGATCTTCATTGGCTTGTAACAGCCATTGCGACTTCCGGAATCCATAGCTTCCGTTGCACAGAAAATACAACAGAAGGCAGAGCTGACAAAAGTGGTGTTGCATTAGCAGTCAGTGAAAATGCAAAAGAAGCCCTTGTGACCAAGAGCGTGGTATCTGACCGATCAGTGCGGTGAGGTTCAGGTGGGGAAAGGATGTTGTCCGTGTCAGATGGTTGTTATGCCCCTATCGAAGCTTTAGCAGAAGCAGTAAAGGAAAAATTTTATTCCGCCAAGAATCTGCTGCTATAACAATGCTGAACTCATCAAATCTTGGTAGGATTTAAATATAAAAAGGAAACAAAGAACGAACTGTTTGGATACCTGCGATCACATGCTATTGACGAGATGAATTATAAATATAAACGTCTGGCTGAATTGTGTGGAATACATGATCTACTCATTGGCGACATACGGTTTTCTCACAATTCATGCATAAAATGACATGGAACTTTACCGAGGCATCAATGGGAAACAAAACCGACCATGTTTTGATTACCACCCAATCACTGAGCATATCTAAACGCGTGAGTGGTTCTAATACGCTTGCGTTTTCGGTCATTTCATAACAGTATCAACAGCATAGATATTTTAACACTGGTTTGGACATCGTTCAGCTAAAGGTGCCAGTTGGCTTTAGCACGAAAATTGCAAAGGCACAAGAAATTTTCTGAAACTCGATTAGAACATAAAAAGTTCGATTTCTCCGTTCTCACATTTAATTTCCTGTCAAAAATTAAGGATAGCGTATATCCACCTAAAAAACTTGAAGTCAGAAAATTTTCGCTATACCTACAGGTAAAGAAAATCTGCGTTGTGCATCGAATTCCTTCAAGTTACATATATGTGGCGGAAGGGAATGGCAGCAAGGCTTCACGCCTTATTTCACTATATGAGGTTTAGCTCAAAATTCTTTTCAAGAAAAATGCCAATGTTGAGTAAATGTCGCAATATGAAGAGGGTGTCGGGCTATCGAGTGTTCCAAATCACATTACTATCAACTCCCAGGAAACCTTTCTCCTAAATTATCCGAATCAGGCAGGTCGCCCAAATCAAGCAAGTTTTCGGACTAGATATCCATGCCCTGACCAAATTTTCATGCTGCTTTAGGATTAATGATCAATGCTGACGCTTCAGCTGCCTTCATTTGCCAATTTCCTCAACTCTGCAGCTGCAACCGACATACTAAATCGTCCGATGATGTGGAAAATTTTGAAATGCTGTGGGATATCTGAACAAATCGTTTCCACCGAGGAGAAAATATTTTCAGAAATTATGTTAGTAGTTCCGTATCATCTGTGAACATAGCGAGAAGGATTCGCTTTCGCTTTTGCTATTCTACATCGTTCTCGATTTTCTTCTTCAAAACAGTGCTGACGCTTGAAAAAATGAAGGTCTGATTCCAGAGGGAAGGCGCAGTTCAAGATATCCAGCTATGTATTTTGCTGACCTGGAGTACGCAGATGATAATGGTCATGGTAAGTAGTACGGCAAGCGGGAAAAGACACCTGCCCGCTTCCGTTCTGCGAAACGAAGCCACTTCCTCAACACGAAACGGAAATCAAAAGTTGGAGGAATCCACCTGGCACAGCTGATCTATCCGTGATGCAGGGAGGTGAAGCTCTTCAAGAAGTTGGCCAGTCCAAGCATCTTGGTTCTATAATCGTCAACGATGGCACTATCCAGCCACAGTCAAACACGAGGATCGCCATAAGTTCAAGTGCCCTTGGAAACCCGACCAATATTTGGGATGAAAATGTAGTTACTGTTCCAGCGAAAATCCGCCTGTACCTTGCGTTTGTCAGTTCAGCGTTATTGTACGGCATGGATACAGTTGTTCTATAAAAAAAGAGCACGTACAAGTGTTGTAATGCGTACAGCAGCGTTAGCATTGACGCATTATGAGGGTTGAATGACAGTACTGAATTGAGGGCACAGTTGATCTTGGCAGGTGTAGAAATTAAGAAAATGAAGTTGGCTCTCTTACACACAGTGGTTGAGCGTAAACCGTTTACTCCATCATTCAGCTGCTGGCGTGGCAGTTAAAAAAAGCAGACGTCGACGAAGAACCCAGTAGGCAACATGATAGAATGAGGGAGATCTGTAGTCGGAGATTTACTATTCTTTCTAAGTACAGTAACCGATGCGTAATAGCGAAAGTATTAAAACAGTGGATATCACAAACCAGAAGCGCTACGCGAAGAAAGCAAGACGTTTCTCACAACAAACACTGTTTACGACGATGACGTCAGTTGCGGCCAGCATGTTCCGTTGGAGCCCGCGAATCGAAACAAATTTCACATTATATTCCTTCGCTAGTCAGTCGGACAACGATTATAACGATATAACTAAATTTCGGTTGCTACCTAACCTAACAGCATCAGACTGCAGACTATAAACGACGAGGTGGGAACAGTGAGGAAGAATTAACGCTAATTCTGCTACACAGAAGACTAGAAACTGGTGAATGTCATTAAGCTGCTTCAAATCTGCTGCAAGTTCTTGCGGAGACTGTTAATGTCTATTTTTCGAAACGTGAATTTATCTCGCACTGGTGCTAATAACTTTCCGACCATACGGAATCGGTAAGTTACCTTACCTCATCTTACGAGAATATGTGACTGGCAGAATATCGTGCATTGAGCAACAAACACATCGCAAAGCAACATGAGAAACAGCAAACTTAAGCAAAAGCAGCTTAAGTAGTAAATCATGTCCAGTTTCGAAAAATAATTAAAATTTACCGGCGAATCAGACTCACAGATCACGACCTGCAAATTCAGTCGTCAACAGATATCGCCATGACGTCACAATTTATGAAAATCCTCGCACATCTGAGCTGCAAAAGCCTGATCGGGAAAAAAAGAAATGCGCTTTGTTACATGGTTCTCAAATGCGCATTTTATATTGAAATCACGAAAGAGCAACCGTGACTTACTGGCAATCTTTGCATCTGGTAGAAATCAGCAAGCATCGCACACTCCCAGGATACGGCTGATCGCGTGTTTTAATGATTTGCAAGTTCAATTATACCGTAACACATGATGCGGGTCCTGAGGTAACGGTTGTGGTTTGTGAATATCGGTTTTTTGGGTTTTGATTATATAAAGTT